ATTGCAGGGTATTGTTCGAAAGCCACACGGAAAGAACTGAAATAAGCGAAAGATGAAACAGGAAGAGACTTGAACTCACCCGATAAATCCTCGGCCTAAAACGTTGTAGTAGAACATATTTGGACCAAGTTCCATATGAAACACAATTTCTTCTCCTGTCTTCGTAGCTAATTTCATGAAGTCTTTGCCAACATCAAAGCAAATGCTCAAGGTCTGATTGTAGTTGTAACATCCTTTGACTTGCTCCTCTGAGTAGCTCTCCAAACGAAGTCCATGAACTGTAGGTTTACAGTCAGAACGTAACATCAATGAGCACAGAACCGCAGCCGCGACTGAAACGATGGAAATAGCAGCGTTTGAAAGAGCCATCAGAGAAGGCGTAAATTGGTACAGAGTCTTTTGACTGAAACCCGGTTCAGTTAGATTTCAAGAGTTTCTTTTATGATGATCGCTGATCGTGACCGGCTCGCACTTATCTTTACGACTTCCCGGCTGGGGCTTCAGCTCAGTTCAGCGCTTCCTCGGCTCAGTCCGTGGCTGAAGAAACAAATTCCTTAGTGTATGGCACGTTTTCATTCACAAAATCTGTTTAGCTTGTAATACGGAAAATTGATGATGCAGTCGTTTAGTTACTTAATAATATTGGCTAAGAAATGAATATGTAGAAAATTGGCGCCTTTACCATGCCGTGTTCATTGTTCTAAGTTCTGAAGTACACTGATGTTGCACTTAGGGACGTCGTACTTAAAAAGAATTGGAGAAGGTCATCAGTATTTCCGTAATTGATCAATATTTTACTAGGTAACTTTATACAATAATACTTAAAAATTTTAAAATAGCATTAAAATATTGGTTTTTAAGAGATATCATGCCGAAGAGAAGCATTTTGAACCGGCCCGGAACGTCACAGATTCAGCAAAACAAAGCATTGAGTCAAAATGAAAATGTGCCGCACGGAGGAAAATTTATTTCCGACGAGGAGAGAATTGAACAGCAAATGGCATGGGATAAAATTAATCATCACCATTTCAATATCGATGATATCACAAGAAACCTGACTCGAAGGGACGAGTCGTGGCAGCACAGATGTATATGCCTGGGGGGTACTCCCAGAAAAATCGGGTGGGGGTGTGCAGCCCGGCTCCCAAAACCCTTACCCCATTTATGACCAAAATCTGCGATTTTTCCCACCCTATTTTTGACATGACCTAAAATTCGATACCCCATTTATGGCCTGACCCTTAAATCAATACTCTGTTTCAGACCTGCCTTACATAATTATTTCCTTAGTTCAGACTGATGTGCCGTAATTTGAGAAGGGCTTTTTTGTTGATGGTCTTATCGATAATGATGAAAAAGTAGCTTCTTCTTAAACCGTACCCAATTGAAGATTAGAGTGCAAAAACGATACCCTATCTATGACCAAAATGGCAAAATTTATACCCTATTTATGCCAAAACGGCTGAAAACCCATACCATGTTGGGCCGCACATACTTTCATAGCACATATCATCACAGAAGAACCCCCTTCCCCCTCCGGGTGTATACGTCAGTCTTGCCTGAAAACGAGGTTGTACTTGGCATTCAGTTCATGAGCTTACGGATGATTTTTCCTTCAAAATGAATGTCAGAGAATCATGTGGACCTTGAAAGATAAAGGTCCTAGTTTCGTTTATAAATGATATTTGATCTCTAGGTCACGGCGATGAGTCGCCACTCCAGACGATCAAACATCGCTCTCATTTATTAGCCAATCAGAATGAGGGGATTCACAGTAATAACAAAATATCATTATATCAAGGACCAGTTTTACAGTGTAATATCCACACAATGTCACACAAAACGACAGTTGATGATGAAGGCAATCATCAACCACCCGGTAGTAACCTCTCACGGTAGATCTAAGGTTAAATCCGTTTAAAGAAGGGAATCGTGGTTGTCGCTTGTAAAGTTTGACTATAAATGTTTATGTCTCTTCACAACAAATTTTCAAAATGAAACGCTAAGACTGCCGGAATATCACTCGGATATCCCCCAGTTTTAGCTGGGGCACAGTTAGACTATTTAAGCACGTCACGCGTTTAGTTGCTTTTAGACTAATCGCGTTCGAGGGAAAATTTTGGATGGATTTTAAATAAACAATAGCCTCCATTTGGCGCAAAAGTATGCTCGGATATTTGTCGGCGGACATTATCTGTTCCGCTCTCGGAAACCTGTGAGCCTTGAGGAGC